CTCCCCGCATCCCGAAAAGTTTCTCAGCGGATTTGGGCTGTACTCAGCAAGCGCAGTATAGTCAGATTAAAAAAAAATATCAGTGGATGGCATTTACTGACTGGTCAGCAGACCGCCGAACGGCCTTACTGGTAGGCTGCAAAACGGTCGGCGGTCCGGGTAGGTAGCCGACAGGTATGCAACCCTGCTGTCCATACTCACTCTGCCGTGCTCTTCGCTTCCCCTCTTTTCCGGTTACTTCAGTTGAAAGTTTAGAACTTCAGAAGTGTATCAAACAAAAAGAGCTTCACCACGACTTCTGCTTCCCGTTAATCGTTCCCTTACTTCAAAAAGTCAATTCTTCAGCACAAGTAAATAACGCAGTCGATCTCAGTTGCGGATAACATGCCGTACCTCGAAACAATAAACTTACGGCATACACAGAACTTTCATCAAATTTCGTAAACGTATCTGACCGTAATCCTTGCCAGATTCAAATAAAGAGTTCCCATCATGCACTAACACTCCGTCCATAACTCAAGTCTCTGCAACCACATATGCCTTTTTTCTTTCAGAGTTTTCAGACCATAGCCCAGGGTAATGACAACTGGCAAAATATGAATGCGCTTCACTCTCACTCTTCTTCTTCTTTTTCTTTTTTCGCTCCTTCCACTCCGACATGGACTGACCTCACACAGTCATTAACAGTCATGATTTCGGTGATCCTTACATTATGGCTACAAGTACACCAGCACCTGGATGCTCAGTTCAGACAAACCACCACTACGTCCGAGCCTCTTTCGCCAAGGCGGATTCCCCCTGTGCGCCAAGCTTCACCGATCCACAAGCGCAGCGTTTCCTTTTTGTTTTTTTGTTTTTTTGGCTGGGTGCCGCCAGCTATAGGGGTCCAGTAGACCCTGGATTCCATACAGTTGCAGATTCCCACTTGGAGTGAATCCTTGACAGATACTGCCGTACCCGCCAGACCAGAGGCTGGACAAGCCAAGACAACACTACGTTGACCCAGCCTTGCTGACCGTCATGCAGTCTTGCACGTGCTGCTCGACGCTGGCTGAGCGCTAGCCCTATGCTGGCATAATGCTGGCTCTGCGCTGGCTTGACATTGGACAACGACGCGAGACTGCTCTGCGTTTACTTGATGATGGCGCCATCTCTATCTTTGGCGCCAGCTGGATCAGAGACTATGTTGACATGGCGCTGGCCACAATGTCCACTACCGAGACTATGCTGACGTGGCACTGGCCATACTGTCCACAGCATTGATTGGGGATTGGCGAGAAGCAGGAGGATCAGGGCTGTGAGATTGGTTGATAGAAGGGGAGCTTACCTGTTGATGACGTGTCGACATTGCGTGCTGCTGATCGTCTTCACGGGGTATCTGCGCTGACAAGTGCTACAATGAGATCTGCTCTTTGTCAGATTGCGTCAGAGGAGACTGTTTGCTGATGTGGCAAGGGGAGATGCCCGAAGAAGAAGAGGGAAACTGAGAGAGTTCTATCTGCTACGCTGACGGATACTTTCTCTTCCACCCTCTCAGTCTCATCTCCCTCCCTTCATCTTCTTCTCTGGTGACCAGACGTTGGGCTACTTGATGATGTATACGATCATTTGGAGACATTGAGACTGCCCTGAGACATTCTGTATTTTGACATTGATGAGCTTCTCTCATGACTGGGTTCATTGCAAATCGGTATCGGAGCGATCTCCTCCATTCCGTCACTGGCTGCTGACGTGTACTGAACCGCACGAAAGTATAGTATTTGTGCGATTATTTGCACGCGCATGTGGTAATCGCACGACTGTACTCGATCGCTTGCGCTTATCTGATGATGATGTTGATGATGAGAGGATGACGTGGACCTGATCTTCGCTCACAATGTGGTGCTGACGAGGCATTCAGGAAACCAGAGAGAGAGAGAGAGAGAGAGAGAGAGAGAGAGAGAGAGAGAGAGAGAGAGAGAGAG